GTGGTAGTGGTAGTGGTAGTGGTAGTGGGAGCAGTAGCAGTAGCAGTAGCAGTAGCAGCAGTAGTAGTAGTAGTAGTAGCAGTAGTAGTAATGGTAGCAGTAGTAGTAGTAGTAGTAGGAGGAGGAGGAGGAGGGGGAGGAGTCAGTATCGTCGTCGTCGTGGTGGTAGTTGCTTACAGTAGTAGCGGTAGTGGTGATACTGTGGTAGTGGTGGTAGTGGTAGTGGTAGTGGTAGTGGTAGTGGTAGTGGTAGCAGTAGCAGGAGCAGGAGCAGGAGCAGGGCAATAGCTGAGTTTCGTGATTTCCAGAATTGAGGATCTGCAAATGAAGGTTTTGGCGGTTTAATTGCGGATCTCTGGGCATCTACCGGCCTCCCTTGCCCTCAGGGAGTCGCACGAATTGGAAACGAAAGAGTCTTCCGTGCCTACAAGAACCTACCAGAATATCAAGTGCACGTTCGATTATTGAACCATGTTCAAAACGTTCAAGTTTAGCAACAGTACGAGGAATGCTTCAAGTTGCCGACACCAGTTTAGTAAAAGGCAAGGTTCGACTCGAAGGAGGCTATTTGCTGGTTGTTGTACTTGTAGCCATCCTTGTCATAGCCTTGGCTGCGGTGTCTTCAACCCGGCTCTGTCGGTGCCATGGACAGGTTTAGAGGTTCAAGATATTTCAGGATTTTGACTGCAGATGTTGGTGTTTGTGGTTGTTGTGGTTGTTGTGGTTGTTGTGGTTGTTGTGGTTGTTGTTGTGGTTGTTGTGGTTGTTGTTGTTGTTGTTGTTGTTGTTGTCATGTTTCTATTGCTGCTTTATGCTTTTGTTGAGGCCACGATTGAGGTTGAGGTTGAGGGTGTTTAGGCTCTTTTGGCGTAAAGGGGTTTTATGTAGTCGGGCTTCGGAAACATCAGAAGGAATTGGCCGGAAGGAAAAATGCAGGACAACAAGGAAACAAGTGGCCTACCGTAGACCCCAAACCGGCAGCACCACAAGGCAGCTAACGGCCTACCGTAGACCCCAAACCAACCAAGCCCAATGACCCATATCGTCACCTCCAAAGTCCTGCTTGAACACATACGCACATCCACAGATAGAGCCACGAACGCTTCTTCAAAACCCAAATAGATATGCAATCTGGCAGCCGGAGCCACAATGGCAACATTCGCGGTGATGTCTGCTACTCTTGCCACCAAAACCCCTGACCCGCTCTCAGCAATGAACCTTAACCTTACCCTCGTGAACTGAACGGTTGCTGGGTTCCATCGGTACCGATTTAGGTAATGCATCTCTAAATTCTGCTGGACAGATTTGGAATCCGGATTCAGGTATGCGCAGCGTGGCTACTTTTGATGTCGAAGGCTTTCTCGCCTTCGCTTGCATTTTCTGGCTTCTTTGGGTTTGAAGTGTGGTATGTAGTGTGAGCCTCATGGCTACGATGCCTATAAGAAAGCGCGGTTGCTACACATGTTTGACCACCTGTAATTCAAGTTCACATCTTCGCTGCTACGCTGCAGTGACAGTGAGGGTCCTTAAATTTGAGTAGCTTTCGGGCTAAACCTTAGTTTCAATGCCTCACACCTGCAAATCAAATCTGATCCCCGCACACCTATCCGTATCTTAACTTAGGCCGAGGCGCGGCATCTCTGTTCATCAGCACTTTCTCTCGTTGCAATTCCGAACTCTGTAACGAAGGGCGTCAGCGGATTGTTCGGGCCTTCTCACGCCCCCAATGCGATTGAACCAACCAAGCGCTCAACATCTCGATGGCCCAAGTTTATCCTCTCACACCCTCAGTGCGATTGAATCAACCAAGCGCTCAACATTTTGATGGCCCAAGTTTATCCTCTCACACCCCCAGATTCAACCAACCAAGTGCTCAACATCTGGATGGCAAGTTTATCCTGATCTTTCAAGCAACCCAGCGCGGATCGTACCTCACGAGGGATTCTTGGGCCCCCCCCCCGCCCTCCAAGAGATCCCACGCGGCACCACGAGCACCGAAGTTCCATCCGTTCGAAAAGATACAGGCAGAAGCAGATGCTAGAGTGTGGAGTTCACCTACCAGTGCGTGTCCCCAGACTGAAGGATCTAGTGTCAGGAAGTGCCCTAACCCCTGGACACGAAACCGGTGGAAAGTTCGAACAAAATAATACAAACCGCTAGAAATCTTTCGCCTGCTCCGTGAATCCAACTGGCCCCCAGGTCCACGGCAAAGCCGGTGGCTTTGCTGGTCCAGGTGCGGCCACCTCTCGGAGCAAGGGGAACAGTTAGAGTAGGGTTGTTGGGGCGTAATTACTATACTTCAACCCTGGCTCACATGAATAGAGTTTTCGCTTGGTAGTAAAGGATCATGGGACGTAGTAGCTACGAGTACGACTATATGTCGTAAGGTACTTGGATCCTTACTAGGTCCCCTGATCCTCCAGGCGTGGTTTTGGGCTTTGAACATAGAAGCCTGAATGCTTAGTGGGGGGTTGGTTTCTTCACTATTCCGGAGCCAGTATAGGGGTAACCTTACTGGCGTTGCAGCGAACATACTTTCAACGCTTTATGGTGCGATTCTCCTTAGAAGCTCTCTGACTTCAGGATGCCCCCTGTCCCAATACATCCTTTGGAACCCTAGAATCCACCACACCACAGCAAGGAGCCCCAATGCACTTTCCGCCGAAGGACATGGAACCGAAACAGTCCAAACACCCGGAACCTAATCCCTGAAGCCCCGAACCACGAAGCCCGGAAGCCGCAAAGCCCTAAACCCTAAATCCTAAAACCTTAAAGCCCGAACCCTGCAACCCCAAATTTCGAGGCCTAAAGCCTTGAGAACGGGGAGTTGATAGACTTTCCAAGCAAAACACCGAAGTCTTCATCATATCAGGACCCTTGAGTCAAAGGCCGTACTAAGGGCCGAAAATCCTCGCGACACCCTTGCAGCGCCTATGCGATCTCTGCCTTCCAGCAAAGTGACGCTGTGCCCATTGTCTTGTAACCGCTTTGCAGCACTCAGCCCGCCAGCCCCTGCCTGGCTTCTTCGATCTC